TAGGGCAGAGGAGCAGGAGAGGGCCTCTCATTTCTAAAGTGAATCTAGTGATGGAGAGACATACCTCACAGAGAACAGATTTGAGGTTTGACCCCTCCTGTGTGGATCATTTCTGGTACATCATTGGATGGCAATTAACACAAAATCTTGAAGCAGTGACTTAGGAAGAGACCTCGGTTTCTTCCATAACAGCACTTTAAATATGGGAGCTCCAGAGCCACGCTCGCTCTTTGGCTCCATAAGATCTTTTCTGCATGGCAGTGTATCTGCAGTATTGACGAAAGCATTTGTATCTGACATCATGCAACCAAGTCATCTTCAGTTCTGCCCAGGCATACAAGTCTGTCCTGAGGGCAATCTGGCCCTCAGGTGCAGAGGCCTTCAGTCAAGGTGTGGGTTAGAAATCTAACTATGATCTTCTAAGATCTAGAAATCTAAGATCATCCTCTGGAGTCTGCAGCATCACTTCAAGGTTAAATAAATCCTTATTTTGGTCTAGAAGTGCCTGAAATTAGTTGTCTGAAGGTTTTCCTAGTTGGCAGGGCATTTTAGAAGTGAAAAACTCTGGAGCTTAAGGCACCCAAGGGTTCAGTGGAAGATCCTGAAGTGCACATGCTAACTGGCAGAGATTTCTCATGAGAAGTAAGGGCTGTGGGATTAAGCATTTTATGATATGAACAGACCTGAACCTGGATCTTCTGCTTCTAAATTTATTTTTTTTTGACTTACCTGCTCCTTCACCCACCCTGTCAGCTTCAGCATCACAGCTAGCCTCATGACAAGTCTCACGACTGCTTACTTTGTAATCTGAAATTTCCTTTAGGCAAGAGAGAGGTGCCAGTGACTTGATCGCAACTACATCACCTGTGGGCGTGCACAGCAGCAAGCATTTTTGTCTCCTTAAGTTTTGTAGTGAAACTGCTGAAGTATAATTTCTGTGTAGAAGGAAAGGGACACAGAAGCCCTTTTTTGAACCTTAGAAGGACTGTGTCATTTTTAAAGCACGAAAAGACCGGGTGAACAGAAAGGGAAATAAGAGGAACTTGTGGAGCATGTTCTGTGAGTGAATGGGAATACAAACATACCCTAAAATTCACTGAGTTGTTGTCCAAAGATCCAAAATCCAAGTTAATAATATGCTTCTGATAATCTCCATGGCTACTATTATTAGTTATGTTATCTAACAGTGTGTGAAACCGGTAGATTAAAAATGAAGTGAAGGATCCCACCCCTCTGTACATCGAAGGGAAGATCAACTCCTGATTGCGCTTCATGGGGAGCACGAAGCGCCCATGTGCTTATTCCACTTGGTGTTTCTCTTTTAACCATGATTTAATTTGGTGTAGCCTTAAGAAGGAAGAATGCGCTCTGGAAGGTGTTTTTCTGAACTGCTCATAAGCAAAGATTTTGCTTTTAACTATGGCTTACCATTGATGATTGTTTTATGGGAAAGATTTAATGGTACCGTCTTAGTACTTTTAACCTGATGTTACTCGTTAAAAAATGAAAATCTTCAAGCATTCCAAAATCGTATTTATCATGTGTTGATATGGAGAACCTTTCAACTGGTGGCTGGTATTTCTAACTTTCCATGTCTGTTTACAATTTCAGGAGCACGGAAGTCATGAGTACTGTCTCAGGTACACGAAGTACAACAATCACTTTTACTGTCCGACCTGGAACCAGCCAGCCGATCACACTGCAGAGCAGGTCCCCAGACTATGACAGTAGGACCTCAGGAGCAAGACATGCTCCAAGCCCTGTGGTTTCACCAACAGAGATTAATAAAGACATCATGCCTGCTCCTCTGACTGCTTCTGCTTCAGCTTCATCTCCTTCTCCGACTTTGTCCGATGTATTTAGCCTACCCAGCCAGCCCCCCTCTGGGGACTTATTTGGCTTGACCACAGGGCGCAGCAGGTCTCCTTCTCCCTCAATATTACAACAGCCAATCTCAAATAAGCCTTTTACAACTAAGCCTGTCCACCTGTGGACTAAACCAGATGTGGCAGATTGGTTGGAAAGTCTAAACTTAGGTGAACATAAAGAAACATTTATGGACAATGAAATAGATGGCACTCATTTACCAAATCTACAAAAGGAAGATCTGATAGACCTTGGAGTGACTAGAGTTGGGCACAGAATGAACATAGAAAGAGCTTTGAAACAGCTGCTGGACAGATAAGAATAGCTATTTTGCCTCACAAACTTCTGTTGATAACTAGAGATGGGCTGGTACTGAAATACCCCAAATGCCTTGTCTGTCTGCGAGTGCCAGCAAAATTGGGGGGGAGGGGGAAAACAGTTTAATTCCTGGTACTCAGGTAATGCAGACTGTATGCTATATGCCCAAACATGAATCTCGATATGTTACACGAGTGGGGCCATTTTATTTCAAAGTTGTGGGGAGATATGAGAGAGAGAAAATTGTTAACTTCAAAAATTTTATCTCTTGATAACGCCCTTCTGCTGGAACCATCACATACCACTATTCTTTCAATTTAAAATTGCAAGCATGTCATTTTTTTTATTGAAAAGCACTATATTCTCTTCTTGACATTCAGTCTCCGAGCAGGCTTCCTTCCCCAACCCTTAGTTCATTTCAAGAGGACAGAGTGCTTCATTACCATTTTTTATTAGTAGCAGAGGCGCAACATTAAGACAGGTGCAGGAGTTCATGTTACTGATTTTTACTAGTTTAGGTCTCTGATTTGCTGGCAGTGAAGCTGGTTGTTCTGCTGGAATTATTTCAAAGGTAACCTTGCTCTGTTTTACCTGGTATTTCTTTATTTCTGCAGTTATACTTAGCACTCTTCCAAGGTGGCAGAACAAGTTCAATACATGCTCCATTGACTTGACCTATAAGACGATGCCGACATTGCGTAAAATCTGAGGAGGAATGCATACTTAGAGGTACAACAAAATGAAGCTAGTTTGAACCTGAGACCCCCAGTTTTCAACCAGCTAAACTACTGCTAAGTTGGAATATGAACTCTACAAGCCAGTAAAAATTTAGGGTTATGTACAGAAGCATCTTTTGGACTTCACAGTCAGATACTCAAAAAGGCGGAACCTTGAGAGATGATGTTTAATTCAGTGAGGTCCTTAGCTATTTTGAACATCAGGCCAAGAAAGAAGAAAAACATAGAAGAATGCTCCCATTGAAGTCAGTGGGAAGGTTGCCAGTATTTTAAGTGAGAGAGAGATTTCAGCCTGTTAGCAAAGATGGAAATGTTTCAGCTTGTTAAAAGAAACCAAAAAGGTAAAAAGGTAATGCTGAGCTGGAAATGGGTATATAATGTCTCAGAATGCATATGTTCCAAGGGCCAGGAGAACTGGGTAGGTATCCTTTTTCTTATTTTTATCACTTTTAACAGATGTTGGCTTCTTGGTGAGAACAGCAAACTGAGCACTTCAGGGGCAGCTGGAAGCTGCCCGGCGGCCTCTGGTGATTTCTTTGCACGGCTGTTAGGGAGGTGGCAGGAGAGGTGCGTGCACCCCCGCTCAAATCCAGGCAGCTGAGGCAGAGCATGGACTGGGTGGTGGGATACCAGAGCTCAAGAGCTTTCCAGGAGACTTCAGTCAGCAGGGGGAAACACACAGATTTGGTTAATCTGACATTTTTTTTTTTTTTTTTTTCAAGTTAACAAGTCTCTCTCTGCATGTTTGAACTCCCCCTGTAATTAACACCTCTTAATATCTGTGAGTTTTGTAGGTCTTTATTAACATAATATTCAAGATGTTCGAGGTGGGTAAATTGTGTGTGGATGGCTAGACTGCCTACCTACCATACTTTCAGGTTCTCTTACATTTTGCAAGGTACCTGAACTTTCTTTCCTTGATATGGTCCTTGACATGGTCCAGCCTATCTCTAATTTTTTTATTGTGATTATTTTTGCTCACAAACAAGTGTCTAATTAGGTCTGCAACAGCCCTAGTATGAGTACATAAAGTTTAGCATTTTAAATATCTTTCTTTACTGCAAGTTTAAATAGTTGTACAGATAGTTTATAAGCACAATATTTTAAGAAAATAAGTGGCTGGTCTACTGGGCAGCCTTTGTGCCACTTCAGTGCTAGAAAGTTAAAAACAGAAAAAAAAAAAAAAAAAACTTTTGTGGTTTACTACTATTTCTGTGGAATAATTATAAAGTCTTGACCTTTTTAAAATCAACCTCATTTGGATGCATCTGAACCAGCAGAGCTGTGTTATATTTTCTATCTTTGCTAGAACTTCTACAAAGGAGGATGAATATTTCTTCAAAAGTGGTTATAGTTACCAACGCATTGGATACTCATAAAAAAGCAACTTATTTAGCCTCCTGCCCCCTTTACGGAACAACAAATCTTTTGACTTAACGTCTGTTACTACGCTATATTTGTATTCGAAAATTCCAAGTAACCTTGTAATAAAAATCAAGTACTAAGGCGTTTTACTTTCAAGAGTAATGAATTTTTCCATAGGTGGTGTAGAAAATGGCAGTTTCATTCAGATAGTCGATACAGGCAACTTGAGGCCATCAAATACTTTAAGAAGTGTAAAAATGGTAATTTAGCCATCATTGTCTTCCATTTGGTGATATGACAGAATTCAGTAAATAAACCACTAATGCCATGCTTTTTTTTTTGTTTCTTTGGGTACAGTTGATATTACCTCTATAACACGTGCCAGAAAATGCATTAGAAAATACGGTAGTAAAAGAAAATGTAGAAGTTGACTTTTAAGCTGCTTTTTAATCACGACTTTCTTGTTGAATTTACGTTGAACAAGTGCTGACATACACGGTAAATTACAGTTGCTGGTAATCCCTTTCTTACACAGGTGTGTTTCTTGCTCGTGTATCTTTTCAGGTACCGAAAGACTAGGTACAACACAATTAGTAGAAAAGAGGTTTAACGCATTAAAGAGCTAACGAAATAGTTTATTTTTTACATTGTGTCTTACAAAGTAAAGGTGAGGAGACTTGAGAGGACCTACTTTCACCAATAAAATACACCTCTGCCAAGATGAATTGGTCTCTAGCTCTGTGTGATGATTTTGCTACAGAAAGCAATAGTAACAGATAACGACGTTGCCTCCGAGTATTTTCGTCAGTCTGGAAATGTTGGGGGGAGGAGAGAAGACCCATTTATTTCATGCTACTATGATAGTGAAAAACAAGTTGTTAGAGATCTATGAAATACGTTATGATATTCTGGGTTTTAGGATCAACTTTTGTTTATATACTGTAATTTAAATAAATTGCATTTACATGCCTAGTTTCTGTAATATTTGTGTATACAATACCAAAATCTTACAAGATGTAAATTGTGTATAACTGCACAGACTCCTTTCCCTAGGTGTCTGAGAACATTTTAAGTTTCATTCATATATTATAAAATGACTAGATGTGACTGTTGATTTACAGAATTTACATATCACAAAAGTTAATTATTTGTGGTACTTAAGTTAATAAAAATAGTGATTTTTTTTTTCTCAGTTCTTAAGAAGCATTACCCAGTTGATCTGGTGATGATTAAGTGTATGAGCCACAAATATTGATAATTTTTCCATTACATTTTTTCTTTTCTTTTCTAGATATTAATATGTTTCTCGCTACAGTTTGTGTAACAACTTGTGTTCACGTTATCTATGTTGCTGTAATTTTCGTGCTTTAATTCCTCTTATTTCGACTGATTAAAAAATCAAGCTCCTGTAACTTGCACTTTTCCCCAATCCTTAATACTCTTGTATGGCAACCAAAATTACTGTAAGAAATAAATATAATATTGCACTAAGGTTGTGGTTCTGATTGCAAACAGAGAACACTGTCTGAATTTTTATTAAAAACAAAAAGTTGCCAAAAAACTTGCAATCTGATATTATTGAAAGTACATAAAATGCTTTAACAAAATGTAGATAGAACTAAAGCAAAATAATTGATTCATTGTTGGGAAAAACATTTCCATTTCGTTTCTTCCTTTTTGGTTAAAGCATTTGTTATGCCAAACATTAGATCATTTTCAGAATTTCAGATTCGTGTTTGAAATTTGAAAAGTAAAAATTTTCAGCAAGAGGTAGAAAATACGGATCTATTTGCCTTAAGGTGGACTTCAAAGAATCATGCAAGATTTTTTTTCTTGGCTGAGCATGTGTGTGGGAATGCATGCTCTCAGCTTAGTACTTCTGGTCGTATAAGGCACTCGATCGTGGAGCTGTTGTGCAATTTAAGAAGGCACTGAAAAGTTGTGAGGGGGCTGGAGTTTCCGTAGGGCAGAGCAGCTTTACAGAGGAGAAAAGGAAACTGCTTCTTATCACACTTTGTGCTTCTTGTGACTAAAAAAATGTACCAGCGGGGTGTATTTGTACTGTGAATGAACAAGGCTTCAAATGGGGGAGGGGGGGGGGGGGATTCACGTCATCTTTTGGCTTAAAAATTTGTTTTTCTATCTTCAAATGGTGATGCAATGAAGAATATTTATTATTTTGATTTTCTAAGATATTGGAATAAATGCCTAGAACTGTTGCCCTTTGGTTTCATATGTTCCTTAACTATTATTCTCTTCTCAGATGTTGTTCTATCTCATCATTTTTGTAGTTACCTATTATTTCTCTCATATTTTTCCAACAACAATTACTTGGCAGCTTTGTTTTGTTTAAAAAGATAGAAGAAAAAAATGGCCTTTTTTTTAATTATTTCAGTTTATTGTGGCAATCCAGTGATAAACATCTGCGTATCTAAATAGAATCATAGAATCACAGGATGGTTAGGGTTGGAAGGGACCTCAAAGATCATCTAGTTCCAACCCCCCTGCCATGGGCAGGGACACCCTCCACTACACCAAGTTGCTTAACTCTCATCCAACCCGGCCTTGATAAAGTCAGGTATTTACAGTGCAAAACAAAGAATGCTTTGCAATTGTCAATGCTTTGTTGGTGAAAGAAATGAGAAGATTTGATCATGGCTGTTGTAGTGTACATGGTATCAATACGTTGTGTTTCGTTTCATTCTTGGTTTTCTGTATTTTTTCCGCATTTTGTGGTCTTTCATTCTTTTTGTCCAAAACCATAAAAAAACACAAAAACAACCAGTAGCTATGATGGGCCGTCATCCAGAATAGCACGATTGTAACAACACTTCAGAACACGGGGTTTAAAAAAAAAAAAGTACGTGCCTTATAATTTTCAACCTGGATCAACTACACTGTATTTAATGGGAAGAGCTTTAGCATCAAGGTACTATAGTACCTGACAAAAAGAGCTTGTAGTGCTGTTTTTTGAAGTGAGACGTCCACATCGCCACAGTAGGAAAAATGGTTAGAGAAACTGAAGTTATTTACATCTTATTTTGAAACATTTTCGGCATTATGAGACTGATTTGAAGTCTTCTCTT